TACAAGTAAATTCTACAGTTAACAAATTATTATTATTTTTTTTAAAGTGAGTTAAGTTGCTGCAAATAGTTGGGGCTTCCTCTTTTTGATGACCAAATTACCAATCTTCCCTCCTTTTCTATGTACATTACTGATAATTTTAGGACATTATCATATATACACATCTATATACATGCATCCATTATCCTTAGACATTTACAATAAGCCTAAAACACAACACAAAGCATTGGATCCTATTTGTATGGAGACAAAACCTGCAGAACTAAAAAGTATATATGCCAAACTAATCTTACACAGTTTGCTTTATCTATATCTGGAACACCCAACATTTGTATCGATTCATATTTCAGTTCCCATTTTTCCAATTGTGCTAATATTGAGCTCTACTGATCTAAGAACAGCTCTTGATCTTGACCAGCTAGATCGTTTTTCTTGCTTTGAGACACATTATACACCCAGTAGCTGTCTGCAGTCATGATAAGATTACAGAAACACTTAAATCCTAACAAGCACACTCCAGAGACAGACGTCTCCAGGGTTCAAACGGTGGTCAGAGATTTCTGCACAGTCTTCCCCTAGACGAAGGCTATCTTTATCATTGGCAAATGCTTGAATGGACCTCCACTGTTTTAAAGGGAAATGCAACATTGTCTGTCTATCTGTTTGTCTGTCTGGCATAAGGAAACTACAGAGTAAGATAATAACTTCTAAATGATGATGTCGGAAAGCAGACAAACCATCAAAGTCCCATGGTTCAGCAAAGGGGAGCGGAGAGAGCAAGAAGGAAGAGATAAGTAGCGAGGAGTAGAGCAAATGTATTGACTGGAAGATCATCGATTGACAACGAGCAAGTCGAAGAGCGTGATTTTTCCTCCGAGTCAATCAGTCTCTCTCTCTCTCTCTCTCTCTCTCTCTCTCTCTCTCTCTCTCTCTCTCTCTCTCTCTCTCTCTCTATCTCTCTTCCTCAGGTAAATTCATGTGCACATTAAAGAAGGAAATATCTAATCGCTATTTACTGTCGATACGCTATATATTTGTGTATCTTGTGCTGCCTCGAAATTTGTTTGTTCATGAGAGAGAGAGAGATTGAAAAAGAGCTAGAGAGAGAGAGTGCGTGTGTTTTGGAAAACCCATCTTCACAGTAGGGCATCTTCATTAGGGGGACGCCCAGTTCCTGCCATGACCTTAATCCCAAAACAAACAAACACACTCACAACAAAAACCTCACCAGGATCCCAATCACACACATCCTTCTCAAGCATAATGACCACAATTACAGACCTTCACTGATTCCTTCTTTCAAGTGATGGCACTATGCCCATCTGTTAACTGCAGGGGTGTGTGTGTGTGTGTGTGTGTGTGTGTGTGTGTGTGTCTGTATGATCTCCCGTCCATATTTTAATTGACTCCAGGTTATCAGAGCTGTAATACAGCATTAGGGAAGCAGCACTGTGAGGGGCAATGACTGCCATTTAACTGACTTAATTAAGTGCTTTCCATGAGAAGGACACTGAGAATGTTACCCTTTCAACATGGAAAAACCTGCAGCAATCTTTGCCGTCTTGTTGTGCTACAGATGGGGCAAGTCAGCCTTCATTGTAAGCATAGCTCTCAGTGCTTCAACTAAGCTAAGACAAGTCCTTAACTTTTTTTTTAAGCAAGCAAAATAAAAGACGTTTCAGCATAATAACTTGTTTTAGTTTTAAAAACATGTCATTTTAATTTTTTTTCTTCTCCAGAACACATATGAGCATGTCATATAAACCCCTAGATGATGACTATTCTTCATAAAACAAATGGTTTTGACTATGAACTTAAAGGAGATCTATTTCATTATTTAATTTAACTATCATGTGTTTGTGTGTGTAATTCAGGTTTCCATCACCCTAATGAATTTAGGCAGATGTAAATCCTAGGATGGATAAAAACATCTGCCAAAGGACAACTTCCTTACTAAATAAAAATTTGACCATGAACATGGTATTTAAAAATACCTATATGCAAATACAGTACATATTAAGATTAGGGATGGGTAATACTATTAACTAAGTGTATTCATCTAAACTATTACATCACATTTTATCGCCTTAGATTAGATAAGGTCATTTCTCAAAAGAAAATACATGACATGACCCACGTATGTATTTTTAGCATATATTTTTTTTAAAGAGAATTGAAAGGTAAATATTTCTAAATCACACTCAAGAGGTGTGATCACATAAGAGTGAGTTTGGATGTTGTCTAAGTCCCCTGAGAGAGCATTAAAAGCCTTAAACGAACCTAACACCTACCCAAAAGACTGTCAAAGCGGAACTAACCCACAGCATGCCTAAGCCAATTATAGATCCCAAACACACACACACACACACACAGACACGCACAAACATTAGGACATCTCTGTCATGAAAGAGACATTGACTGCGACTTTGCTGGGTCGCAAGTGTGACTGGCTGTATTTGAGTGTATATTAGTTTCCGAGTGTGATGTTCGATAATGCATGAGCTCAGCCGAGCACATCAGCTTTGAAAATTTCCACCGTCAACTTCTAAATGCATTGAATGCATAAGCTATTGTACTAATGTTCACTTCTGCTTCTAAGCTGAACAGAGTTTCCTGACTTTTCTATTTCCCCCATATCTCTCCCTCTCTAACCCCCCAGCTCTCTCACACACACACACACACTGATTCTCTTAAAGATTGGGAGCACAGGGTGAGGAATCTCTTTTATTTATCAGAAAGTGATTCATCTGTTTGTTTGTATCTGCCCTTGAAAGATCTTACAAGAAAGATCGAATGGAACAGGAAGAGAGGGAAAAGGGAGATGCATGAGGTGGCAAGCGAGAATGAAAATGGGAGAGACCGACAGTGAGCTGGGTGAGAAAAGCAATGGGTCATTAAATAATAACTAATAAAACATCAAAAACAATGTGTGTGCTTGCAATCACGGCATTAACTTCCCTAACCTTAAAACTATTGGCAAGAGAATGAGACCGTCTTTTGATCCAATAAAATATAAGCTACGTATGCAGTGTTGTAGTACTCGAGACTCGGACTCGTCTCGGACTCGGTCTCGAGACCATATTTTAATGGTCTTGGTCTTGTCATGGACTCGTGTCCATTTGGACTCGGAATTGACTCGTACTCGAACAATTATTCCCGAGTCCACTCGAGTTCAATTAAAAATATTTTTCATGATTATTAATGTATGTTAATAAAATATTTCTTTAAATTGATTGACACGCCCAGTGATTGGTGATTTTCTAGTGCGCAACTGCGCATGACAAATTGTAATAAAATTACTTTTAACACCACCTACTATGTGGCCTTTTTACCCTAAACTGATCATATTTTTTAAACTCTAAGTAAATTCAGTAAAAAAAAAAAAAAAAAAAAAAGGATTTCTCTAAGTAAATAAAAGTAAATTAGGTAATCAACCCTCACTGGTCTCGGTCTCGACTCGGACTCGACCGTCTCTGGTCTCGGACTCGACTCTCTATGGACTCGGTCTTGACTCGGACTCGACTCTCTCTGGTCTCGGTGTCGACTCGGACTCGAGTGAGGTGGTCTCGACTACAACACTGTACATATGTCAGAAATGAGAAGTAACCACTATTAACAGCTTTTCGATAACCATCAGCATACATGTCCTTAATTTTCCCTCTGACAGAGGGTCTGACTGATGGCCAAATTCACAGTTTTTATCTAATCAGCCTTCCATTGATCTCCTAGTGACCAATTACTTTTAGCTTAGTCTTAATTAAATCCAGACTTTAATTGAGGCTAATTTTTGGCACAGAGTTGTCTAAATGCAAAAGGCTTTAGATCATACGCAGCAAGTGGGCTAAAACAGCTTTCCACTTTAATCTACATTTGGGCCAATATTCACCCAGTTATAAAGTTAAAAATCTATTTTTTTTAAGCAATTTACCCAGTATAGCCTCCATTTGTGAGGTGTTTTTACCTTTGACTTTTTTACAAACCATGGTATTTTAGTGTCATATGACTGGTCTCAGTGAGGTAACACAATATGCAAAGCAAAATATGGACCTCAGAACTTAACTCCAAGAGAAACACTCGCTCCTGCTCTACTAACATGTACTCCGACGAGCAAGCAGAACAGACATTCCACAGAAAATGGCACGCTGCGCTCACACAATACACACCTGTTGCTGATAAAGTATCAAATGTAGACAAGACAGCCCTTAATGTTTGACAACTGCTACCGAATACCACCCCAACAGTGGCTCCATTGATAGAGACCCAACATTGGTTGGCTGGTCATCAACAATGGAGGTAACTGTTGACCACAGAGAGCTTCTACAGAGGATAGGTAACTTAGCCGCAATGAAACAAGATACATGCTCTTACTGTTCAAGCCCTTTCACCTGTTAAACTCCGACAATATAAAGAGCGCGATAGGCACAGCGGCATATCGAATTGACAGTGATTACTGAAAAATGGCCAAAATTACTCAAGTTTCTGGAAATCAAATGTTTTTGTAACTCACCACAGCGCAGTAAAAGCAAAGAAAAGGATGCATTTTCATCCTATTATCTGGTACACAAGCAAACCTCTTGTGAATTTATGTTTATAAGATGAGCTACGTCTCCAATGAAGCAACCTTGACCTCATCTGATGCTAGAAGAAAAAACAGTCAGCTGCCTGCTGAGTTGTCAGGCTAAATTTTAGACTATACTACGCTAAACAACTTTTAGCTCTTACTGGAATAACCAGCAACATAAATAAAAAAGGAATGGCATATGAATATAAATCTACAAAAATTCTAGAGAGATGTTGATCCAGTCACAATAAAGACTACAATCACACTTACGCCTATTCAGTCCTTTCTATCACCGTATAAAGATCTATAAAAGCGTAGCGGTGTGTGAGTGTGTGGCCTTTTGTGGGAATTTCCCTATCTTATTAACTGTTGAGTATGTCTCTTCTTACTTAGCTGTTTAACTTAACTCTGGCTTATCTTTTTTTGTGTTTGCCCCTACCATTTTCCATATGCTCTGCCTCACCGACACTGCCATCGGGCGTAGTCCTCTCATAGGCGTCTTCGGGTAGAGGGAGGGCACCTAGTCTGGGGCCGGACGAGCTCTTGCTGCTGGGCGTCTCCGACTCCTCCAGGCCACTGTCGTAGCAGCTCTGCAGCGAGCCCTGGTGCGGGTCCTGGGGCTGGCTCACCACCGAGAAGGTCACTCGGCGAAACGGCTACAAGAAAAGAGATTGCTGGGGGTCACTGGACTGGTGAGGTCGAAGAAGAGAGGTTGATGGGTAGTTTTTTGAAGGGGGGAGGGGGGGATCATTCTCAGTTAAATTACTTTTGCTATAGCACCAGTTGGATTAGCGCACTGCGCTACATGCTACAAAACAACACAAACATCAACTGGATTAATTGCTCTCTTTCTCTCTAAGTAGTTAATATATGAAGCTTGAAAGCAGTGTTCAGCAAGGGAAGCTAAAAAATAAACAAAACAATACTAATGAGCTGCACAGCACTTGTTTAATGGATTCTCACATAAACAAAAAAAATGTTATAGGATAGTAAGTTCAATGCCCACAGGAGTAAGTACAGTTGCCACACTTGGCAATGTGGTTTAAATATAGCGGCGGAGGTCTGAAGGACATCAAAGTCTCCTTGTGTGGTTTACTTTATAGCAAAAAAACAGGACAAGATGAGCAAGTATGGTCCCGATGGGAGATAGAATGGAACACATGGCTACAGGCTAATAAACAATCGCATGGATCCACGCACACACACACACATTTTTCAAAGTAACTAAAGAACAAATAGGTGAAAGGATGCACATAGGAGTAATAAACTGGAACACAGAGACTCGTGTGAATTTGTGCTCTAGCTGCGCTCTGAACCTTTGATTTTCATTTCCTCTTCCTCTTGGGTTGTCTCAATTGAGGAATGGCACAAAAGACAGCATGATCGAAGGAGATGACTGATGGTGGGCCAGGAAGGGAGACAAATTATTTTGGTTTGTGCTGAGATGCAGTGTAAAAGAGAGTAGGGAGACAAATTAAACTACAGTAGGAATGGATCATGGTTCATTTCATTAAAGTGAACTAGAAATCAAGTGATGAACTCTCTATTTTTGTATGTTTTTGCTGTTACAGTATCAAAGCAAAGCAGTGGGATACTGATACCCTTTAGGAATCAGTTTAATCAGGAAAATGAATTTGTTATCCTGATTTAACTGCTCTAATAGGGAAGCTGGGTTAAACAATATGAGGACTTTTTGTCCTTCATATCCCAATGAAATACACTGAGATAAGGGATACATATGGTCTCTAAGCTAAATGAGTGGCGGGAAGAGGGAGAGAAAATGAGAGCACGAGAGAGAGAGAGAGAGACAGAGCTGAAAGTTTGGAATTAAATTTTGCTAATTTAACTAGCATTGGAGCCTTGTAATTAAACCATTGACTCTTCCTGTTGGGGTAAGTGAAAGCGGGGGGGGGGGGGGGGGGGGACAATGGAGGAGAAGTGATGCCTCCAACCTCCCATCATTCTCTCTTTCTATCTCACTCTTCAACCTATTACTTACTCAATTTATGCTGATGATTGCTGCTGTTTAGTCTTTGTGTGCTGTGAGTTGAAACATAATTCAACACAATTCTTCAGGTAGTAAACCAGTGAAATAGTGACTAAGACAAGACTAAGAGACTTGATTGCTTTATATCATGAACAGATTTAATTTAGGCTTTTAATCACAAACAACCATTGAACAGTGAACATAAACAGAAGCTACACCGAACCTGCTTGATGCACAAGAACAAACCTCTTTGGTTCTTGAGCAAGCTCATACAGTACGTGCTGCATTTTACCTCATTCATCCTTGCACGTCAAGTGAACATGCTTGAGCTTCCGTTTACCACAATTAATATGTGAGTTGATGAATATTTCATTCTCAAATTGGTGACGCCATATGACATTTCGTCGAAATACTACGCACATGGCACCCTTTGGCGTCAATATAACACGCAGAACCCAAGGCGTCATACAGGTGACTGACATCCTTTAGCGTCAATATAACACGCACTGTTATGGGTAGGTTTAGGTCTGGGGTAGGGTCTGCGTCTCATATTGATGCTAAAGGGTGCCATGTGCGTAGTATTTCAACAAAATGTCATATGGCGTCACCTATATAGCCAAAGGATGAGAACAGGCTTGAATATTTATATGCAAATAAAAGCCTAAAATCAATCTGTTCATCACATAAAGCGATCAAGTGTCCTCATAAAATATGGACTAAATCGTTCAATTCACATGGATTAGTTTTACGATCTCTTTATGAACATTTTGAAGCATCAAAGTGGTAGTTGCATAGCTGTCAACGGAGAGACAGAAAGGTATCATAATTCTTTAAAAATCCCTTAATTTGTGTTGTGTTTGGAAAGACAACCGGGTGAGTAATTAATTACAGAATTTTCATTCTTGGGCGAACTATCGCTTTAAAGGGATACTCCACCCCCCCAAAAAAAATCTGTCATAATTTACTCACTCTCAAGTTGTTGCAAACCTCTATGAGTTTCTTTCATCTGCTGAACACAAAGGAAGATATTTTGAAGTACAATTGGAACTAAACATTTGTGGGTCATCATTGACTTCCATAGTGTGTGTATATATATATATATATATATATATATATATGAAGAGTTCAGATGCAAAAGCCTCTAAGTGCCATTTGAAATTTTCTTCTAGAATGATCATTTTTATCAAGCTTGTATATTTAAGTTCAGTGATTTCACTTAAATGGCAATGATAATTACCTATTAATTGTTATTTAAGTGAAATTACTGGACTTAAATATACAAGTTTGATAAAAATCATCATTAAAGAAGAAAATTTCAAATGGCATTTAGAGGCTTTTGCATCTGAACTCTTCAAATATATTACTATGGAAGTCAATAGTGCCAAAAACTGTTTGGTTCCAACCGTCTCTTCCTTATATCTTCCTTTGTCTTCAGCAGAAGAAAGAAACTCATACAAGTTTGCAACAACAAAAATGTGAAATGACAGAATGTTCATTTTTGGGTGGAGTATCCCTTTAAATGTCCTAGTTTAACTAAGGTCCAATCATGTATGTGAAAACAGGCCTCGGTTTTATAAAATATGTAACAGGGATCCTTTCTCTGTCCAAAAATATATTAATCTGAAAAAGAATGAAGACCCCTGCTCTAAATAAATATAAACAGCTGACAAACAACCAATAACCTTTTTTTTTTCTAATCTCTGCAGTGAAAAGTTCGGCATTAAATAGACACTAACAAAGCAGCAGCGATTCTAAGTGTTTGCCTCTGGCCTTCTCCCCGCTTCCCCACTTCCTGTCACTGCACATTTTCTTTCAGGAATATTAAACAAGACGGAGCACCATCATTCACTCCTCTTTTTCTTTCCAACTCGCTGCCTTTCAGACTGAGTGGCCTAACACTCATCATTACTCCAAATTGTCCCTTTAATTTGACACGTTGCCATAATCTTGGCATTTGTATTCTGTCAGGTTAGTAGGGCCTGTCTTTAAATGTAAAGGAGTGCACATACTCGCTAACACAAACACAAGTGGTGGTTCATTGTCTGTGTATTTCTAAGCCTATACATATGCACATGTGTCATTCATCTTTCTCAAACTTTCCCTTGAACTAGATACCTCTACAATGACAGTTTGTCATTCACTGATGACCAGTCACTTGCTGTCACCACACAGATACCAATTCGTACAATATTCTGATAACATTAAGGAAACCGTTTGGACGCACTTGGCATTCGTTCTTCTGCTGCATTAATTAATTTATTTATCTGTCTCCCTCATTTATCTGGCTAATGTAGAAATCTTGGCAATAAATCATGTTTCCATGTAATTACAATCAACATTCAACAAATGAATTGAAATAAATATTCATGGACTAAAAATTTCACTTTGGATAGTCAAACATTTGTTGCATAATTAAATAGAAGCCCACAGGGGGTCTCGCTACTGCGCTGAAATAACGGATCAAAATCATGTTTATGTATCAAAGCCCCATTCTCTCTCTCTCTACCTCTAAAATGAAATGGCTGCCTCTGCAGCTAAGTGTGACAGCAATCAAAGTCCTACGCTGAAGAGTTGAGGCTTAAATTACCCACAAAATGAACTGAACTTTATATAAATTGGTGGAGTGTGGCATTATGCTTGGTGCAAATGTGATTTTCAAAAATAAGAGTCAATGAATGTCATGCAAGAAGAATGGCGAGATGGGAAAGTGGTTGCCCATGCAAAGATAGATGAATTGGTTTATTGATTGGGCATTGATTGGCTGGGCTTCCTTACTGTGGAAGCTGCTTTATGAAGGACAATTTTAATTAAATCATACACAAATGAATGAATTTCTGTTCATCATTTTCTGGCATTAGTCATCCTATGTAGGTTGAAAGTATGTAAGACCCTCTGATAAGGTCCCCCCCCACACACACACACATACACATGCAGGGAAATCTGAGGCAATGCATGTCTGAGGCAATATTGAGGCAAATATTGACTGCAGAGAAGGAAAATTAAGTGCTATTTAAATACAATGCAGCAACAATACCTGTAATTGTAAGGGGTTTTCATCAGCGTAGGTGGAAATACTATTTTAATAAACCCAGCAGAATATACCCAGTGGATTTGCATTCATTTCAAAAAGTAACTATTCTGTAAATAAGCTCATTTTATATCTCTTCGAAAGTGTTTTGTAGTATCTATTAGAAAGTGTGTGTGTGTGTGTGTGTTTGAGTTTCTTGGGTGTATGTGGGTAGTGATGTGACCTATATCCATGAACCACGGAAAGCCGTGGTTATAGCCAAAAACACAAACTCTAAAGCTGCCTGTGTCTTTCAGCAATCAAGCAGACAAGATAGGAAAGAAGATGAAGATGAAATGAAGGGAGAAAAAAAAAAAAAACACTGGATGAGATAGAACGGCAGACAGGAAGAAAATCCAACTTGGGTGGTCAGTGTAGGTAAACTCTATTCATTCATTTGGTGTCCTTGTGATAGAACCTGTAATTAACTTCTGTTCAAATTTTCATAAGTACCCTGAGGGTGAACAACAGACTGCTATCTGATCAAGCTGCCACTGTACAAAACAGCCCAAGGGTAATGCTACTATAGGTCAAAATAACTGGTAAATTAGCAGAACGAGCTTCAGGTTCAAATTCTCATAATGTGGTTACCAAATTTCAAG